TTTGAAAAGAGGTCTCTGCCATAGCGGCACTGATGGTTTCATTCCACACTTACAAGTATCTCTGAATAACTAACACAGACGGCCACATTGCTTATGGAAACCTATGGGAGCTCCGGACCACGTATAGTACATACATTCTGAACTGAAAATCTCTCTATAACACCACAGTGGTTTACCAGTTTTCAGATTTTACATTGAGCCATTTCAAAGAAAAAATCAATTTTATTTTGAAATTTTGGTTATACCCATTTAAGTTTGAGTAGGTAAGATTTATGATTAGCAACACACGATAGAAGGTACTATTATTAGCGAGACTACATCACCCCTCACAGAGAAGAGCTTGCCAATCACTTGTGGTTCACGGCTGCTCTAGATGCCCCTACTCCTTTTCCCAAGGCTAAGGTTGTGCCTCTTTCATCTCCTGGTTGCTGCCCATTTGAGCTGACAGAGTGCCGAAGACTGAATTTTCTCAGGTTCCCATTCATCTGTCTCCACCCACCTCCAAGAGCTTTCTGTTCACTCTTCTCTTTGCTTCCCCTTTCACTCATTTTCTCTCTGCTTTCTTTCACTTCAATTTATACTATTGAATTTAAGGAATCTTGTGAGGTTAAGAATTATTCGCTCACACTTTGTCCCAAGTCCAGGGACCCAGAGACTGTGGGAAACTCAGCTACATAAAAAAATGCAACAGCTAAACATAACTTGTCGCGAGTACTTAGTCACTGCTTATGTGAGTGAGTTTATCAATTGCAACCTTCTGGGAGTTTAGTCTCCAGTTCTGTGGCTCGTGTTGTCAAGCCCACAGAGGGTGATTGTGGGTTGGATGACTGCTGAGAGATGGGGAAGATGCCAATTCACTCATTCAGGGGCTGATGATAGGGCTCTGGGTATCAGTCAGAGATGTGGTTTCTATTTTTCCCATTGTAGTTTGACAGGGCTATTAAACCATCTCAATAATTTCCAACATTTTAGATTTAAAAACTCTGTATTCCTATTGACCAATTTTTGAAATATCTGATTGCCTAGGAAAACAGGTGCCCTGTGAAGGCTGATGTCATTAAAAAGTTGAAATTACCTATCTGATCTGAGTTTATGGTCAAAAACCAAAGGGATGGCAGAACATCCCTAAGTCACCGAAATAATGAATTAAAATTGACCTGAGTTAGAAAAATCTGAGAATTTCAAAACCTTTTAGGTGAGTTAATGTATAAAGGCAAAGATGTTTTTATTTGTCGAATTAGATACTTCACCTGCTCTCTCTACTGTTTTCCGTATTATTAATCTTGCCATCACATGGTGGCAGTCATTCTGTTTCAATAGAAATTCTATAAAAGAAATTCATTCCGATGCTTCCCATTCAACTACCTTCCATCTCCAAGGTGTATAAAGAAAAAAAGAAGAAAAAATAGAAAAAGATAAGAGGGCTGGACAGCTTTGTCTGGTATTGATGACTGTCTGACATTTAGTAGTGGAGAAAGTCTGAGAAGCATTGACTTTCTTTGGGCATATCACCCTGTGTAGTATTGGTGAATTAGGACTTATAATTTTTAATTACTCCAGTATATTTCATTATTTGAAATACAGATCCCCCCAACAATAAAATCTTAAATCATTTCTTAAAGTTATTATTTTTTAAATTCACTAAACAACTGAAGAGGTGGTTAGAGAATTGGCTAAGGAACAGTATCTCTTGAGTACAGATTGCCAAACCTCTTTTCATCTCTGCTTGTGTCCTTTCTCTCCACTCTGGAGAATCCCCTTCATATATGTTAACATCTGGCAGACATAAAAGATTATTGTATTGGAAAAAGCACTCATCAAAAAGCCCTAAAACTTGAGTTTTGTTCTGGACCAAGATTGGAGGGGGTCATTTACCCTTGATGTCAATGTCCTCCTACCCTTGTGAATGAACTAGAGGACATGGGTTAGATCATCCAGCTCTGACTGTGAAGTGAGGAGTGCATAGACAGCTGGACCAATTTCTGTCTCTTCGTTCCCCAGCTACTGGCTTACTAGTGTTATCCACAGAGCAATGTGGTTTTGCCTGTGAGAAACAATGCTTTCTCTGAGACAATCCTCCACCCACCACTGAAGGGTAGAGAATCAGGCTCAATACATTTTACACAGAGCTTATTCATTTAGTAACATGAGAAGTCATTTGGAATTGGAGTCTATAGTACATTTGTGATTTTTGCTTAGAGTCCAAAAGTTATCCAGTAACATACAGTTTCTGATGTTAGATGTCACCATGGTGACGAACAAATTAACTCTACCGCATACCCATATAAGGCTGAGCTAGCCAAGTGCTTGGGAGTGGAGAGTTCTGTAGTCAGGCATTGTCATCGCTGCTACAGTAGCACTGTGGGGAAAATATATAGCGAGAGACCCCAGGGGAAGCTGTGGGAAAGAACAAACTATGCACACAGCTCTCTGAACAGCAAAATCTGTCCAACTACTATTTTTATGTATTACATTACTTAAAAAAAAATACTATCAATACTAACAAGTAGGGCAGAAATAGTTTTGCTTTCCATAGGAACACCTCTGGGTAAATTTGTTAATCAACAAATATTTAATACACATATGCCAGTTTTATAGAACTGAAATAAACACTGCATCTTAATAAATGATTTAATGAAGTGTAGGCAACTGTCCTAATAATAAATATCTTCAGTAATATACTGGGCTTACCCAATAGGAAATGATAAATGGTATCATTTATCTCTCCTCCATAGGTTTCTTTCTTACGTTTCACCATCAGTCATTTCCACAGTCTTATTGGTTAACATTCAATGGCACACTTGAATCAACTGAGGTGCCTTGGGCGCTGGCTGTTAAAACAATCCAACTTGGATCTGTATGGTCCAAATGCAGTGTGAGTCTAGGTCCAGAGCTAATGACAGTATGGAAAATTATGCAGTGTGAAGAGATCTATCTGAACACTACAGACAGTGGACCTCATAGGCCAGGCCCCAACATGGGGTGTCATCTGGCTCTGTCTCTTGAACAGACTACTCAGAGAACTGCCATATCTCAAATTAATTCAGTGTTGATAACCTGTTGGAAAAGAGGAAAGTCAAGTCCACGCTGGGTAATGAACTTCTTATGTTAATCAAATTCATCAGAAGGTGCCAATTTTCTACTTTACTTGACAATGTATAGAAACAGACTCAAGGTATTTTCTTAATTAGGGACGATGGAAAATGAAAACGTCTCAATGCCTGTACTGTATACTTACTGAGTTAGAAAGACCTAGGAACCCTTAGAAATCTCCCTTCTAATAACCTCTTAGAAAAGACCTTTCTCAGTTCTATAAGAGTACATTGCTATGCAGATGGCATCAAATATTGAAATAATCAGAATAAGTTAGCTTTACCGAAGAACAAAATTCTTATGAAAGCATTATGGGAAATAATAAAGCAATATTATTATATTGTTTCTGCACTAAATAATCACACAAAGTGAAAAAGAATAGACCCAGTACCCTCCTCAGTTTGTATGAGTTCTGTTTGGCTGATCACATGAAAAAGAATGTAGAATCCCTATAGAGTTGAACTCCCTCCCACAGGCGAGTCTCACAGATACTTGTACACCACTAATTTATCTTCCCATGCCCAAATAAGGCTGAGCTAGTCAAGTGTTTAGGAGGGGGAGAATTCTGCAGTCAGACATTTTCATCACTGCTCTATAAGCATCGTGGGAAAACCTATAGCAAGGGACCCCAGGGACATTTTAAATCTCATGAAATGGCGTCTATACATACAAAATGCTTTTCTGGTTAGATGCTGATAAATGATATTCAACTAGAAATTTCTAAAGCGTAAAGTCCCCACTCCAAGCAGAGTGACCCACTACTAAAACAACCACAAAAGAACTGTTTTGAGGATTGCAACTCCCGATGAACACAGCACGCGGAAATGGAAGCTTTGGTCTCGTGGCAAGAAGGTCCTCAACTGTGATTTTTGACTGTAAAAAAATGATTAGTCACATGTTGTTCAGTATGACCCTTACATTTATAAAGGGGCTTCCTACCAACCCAGCCACAAAGGCCAAGCTCCAACAAGATGGTCCTTCCTGTTGGGCAGTGGGAATGGGGAATGGCTACTTTAAAACCTGACTGCAGGATTCAACACAGTGACATTCATTTGGAACACCTAAGGATGGCAATAATTTCTGATTCCAACAACAGGGCAACGCTGACAAGAACTCCCAATTGCCTTTCACAACATGACATCGGACTAGCATGGGTCCTAGAGGGAAATGTAAGATTCCAAGGCAAAGATACTCAAAAGACTCTGTCAGAAAACAAAATATGGCTCTGCACACTGTCGCACACCAACATGGGCTTAAACATATAAATACAAACAATATCGTTTTAAAATCAGTCATGCCAAGACTCAAACATCAGCTTTAATGGAAATGGAATGAGAGGCCAACCACTTTGATTGAACATATTAAAACACACATCAGGTCCATATTTCAAATTCTGCCAGGTGTTATGATGATAGTTTGGGGCGACCTTTATTTTCTCTCTTACTTATCTATGAAATGGGCTATATAAAGGACATTCAGGAAATGAGTAGAACAATTTTAGAAGTAGAATGATTCTCAGTGGTATGATGTTGGTACCCTCTAGATTGAATATCTGTGTTGTAGTATAAATGCAACAATGTTTTCCTTATGTAATATTTTACAAAATATATGTTTATGCAAAACATCATAAGAATAAAACTTCGTTGCATTAAATATATACCTTCGTATTCACAACAATGAACAAGAGAAAAGAGGCTTAAGAAAGTTAGCATTGTTCTCAGCTTATTAGCAAAGTAGTATAAATTGACCCAATTTTCCATTTTTTTATTGTTTGTTCCAGTGGAGAAGAACACATCGGCACTATATTTCTTAGAAAAGTATGCAACTGACTTTCCAGCAATTTAAGGCACTTTCACTTACAACAGAAGGATGGAGAAGATCACTTTTATGGCAGGGCTGTGACTTACCCGCCCCCCTTTCTCAGGGTAGCACTGGCAGCCCCCGCTGCAGTCTCTCCCTCCACAGGGCACGTCCAGCTTCTTCACACCCTGCAAAATAAAACATAAAGCAAAGAGAAGGTTAAATAAAATACTGTCAACTACAATATGCATCATAATGCTGTCTGTTGAGACTGTTTCCAACTCTAAGAGGTATATAGTCATTCAAAACAAATAGACTTGAATTTTTAGAGCAGTTTTAGGTCCACAACAAAAGGTACAGAGATTTCCCACATACCCTCCGCCCTCACAAATGCACAGCCTCACTCCTTATCAACATCCCCGCCAGAGTGGGGCATTTGTTAAAATCAATGAACCTACAATGGCACATCATTATCACTCAAAGTCCACAGTTTACATTAGGGTCACTCTTGGTATTGTACATTCCATGGTCAAAAAGCCCCTACTAACTGCCAGATGCCAAGCTAGATCTTGGGGCTAGAAAGTCAAAGAGAACATCGCCTGAATCCAGAGATTCTGTGTGAAGTAAACCCATGTAAGAGCTTTGGCACAAAGGAGAAACCCCAAGTGCTTAGAAAGCGTCCTTCATTCTGCCTGGAAATGTGGCAGAGGGGAAGGGAGAATGGAGGAGATGTTCAAGGTTAAGTTAAATGCATAGGGCAACTCTGGGCCCTCATTCTACAACACAGTTCTTCATGAATTAAAGAGAGGGGGGTTCTGATGAGGAAGCAGAACTTGCAAATACACCTGATAGGATGACAAATCTTCATCTCCATCACAGGGGTACCATGACATCCACTGCATGCACCCGCAGAGGAAAGACCATTTCCTTCCTTTCACTCCGTGAGACACTTCCATGTGCAGTAAGAAGAAGGAGGACGGGGAGGTGGTAGAAGCTTTCCCAAGTATTTAGTCAAGTCGGGGTGGCGTAATCAAACTTTTTATCAGACACTGAGCTATAAGTCTTTAGTGAGTTTAGTGGATAACTTGAGAGAGTTCTCTGGCTGCACAATTTCAAAGAGGAGTAGGGGAAAAGGTGTTTCTTGCCCTTGATCTAGGTATTTTGGATAAAAGATGGACTTGGAGATTGGATTATGTTTGAGCTCTTCCTTTCAGATTGTGTTCACAACACTAAATATTTTGAGTGGGAAATGACAATCAGAGTGGCCCTCTTTTCTCCTCTCTCTGATCAGCCCAGCCCCTATTCTCTACCCCATAGGTGAGTCGGTGCAGCTGCTCACGGGGGAATCTGTCTGGCTCATTACCCTTGTTATCCTCATCTAGACTCTCCATCCAGCAGGGATCCTGGGCAGTTAGTTTCCTGTATGCACTGAGTCAAATCTTACCAGGCAGGCAACACTCTCCAGATAACAGAATTCATTACAACTTTAAACAGAACTGCATTTCTTATTTTGCTTAGCATAATATTCTCAAGATTCGTCCATGTCAGATGGAAAATGTCAAGGACCATATGATTCCACTCATATGTGGGATATAAAACTGAAAGCAACAAAAGAACAAGACAAACAAAAACTCCTAGACACAGACAACAATATAGTGGTTACCAGGGGGAAAAGGGGATGGGAGGAAGGTAGATAAGGGTAAAAGGGGTCAAATATATGGTGACGAAAGGAGATTTGACTTTTGGATAATGAATACACAATGCAATAGATAGATGATGTATTATAGACTTGTATATTTGAAACCTATACTTCTTTTTTTTTAAACCAATGTCACCCCAGTAAATGTATTTTAAAAAAAGGAACTACATTTCACTATGGCTTTCCTTTCTCTTCTGAGTTAAGTCTCAATGACTAAACAGGATGCTCACTTGGGAACTCCCTCTGTAAGCTTTTCTGTCTGTTTTTCATGCTAGTGGATCTGCCAGAATCTTCCCTGTTTCTGGCATGGTACTGAATGTTCACATGAAAATGCAGATGGTGTTGCCTGGCTACCTCTGTTACTTCCACTAGTATGGCCTTCCTGAATGTTCAACCTTGGGTGGGCACATGAGTGAACTCTGACTTGAAACCATCTGGCCAGAGTTTACCATAGACCTCAATAACTACTCAATACTTTTTATGTAGAGATTATAAATTCCTTTCCTTTCTTAACAATTTTCTATTAGGGAGGTCTTATTCGAAAGTTCCACTTTTTTTTTGGTGTTTTTATTATAATTCTTTCCTAATCTAGTATCTGGTGCATTAGTCACTACTTTAAAGAATTCAAAAAAAAAAAAATCTGAAAAGCTCAAATCCTTTAAAGAAACAAACACCTAGAAAGTCTTTTGAATCTCTTTTTGGTTATCCTTCTGATCTGTGTGAATTAATGAGACAGCTTGAGTTCCATAGTGTAAAAGTTAACATACATAAATTGAAATTTGCCAAGAGAGTATAACTTAAGTGTTCTCACACCAAAAAAGAAAAAGATATAAGAAGTACAAATTGATAGTTACAAAATAATCAATCATGGGGATGTAAAGTACAGCATAGGGAATATAGTCAATAATATTGAAATAACTATGTATAGCGCCAGGTTGGTACTAGAGTAATTGGGGAGATCACTTTGTAAATTATATAAATGTCTAACCACGATGCTGTACAGCTGAAACTAATATAAAATAATATTGAATGCCAACTGTAGTTGAAAAAGAAAAGGTAAATAAATATATGAGGTGATGAATGTATTTATTAACTCAATGGTGGGAATCCTTTCACAATGTATACATATACCATATCATCACATTGTACACTTTAAATATTTACAGTTTTGTCAATTATGCCTTAATGAAACTGAAAATAAAGAAAAGAAAAACACTAAAAAAAAGTTAACATACATAGAATCCTTTCACGCCCTCAAAATATGATTGATTCTAGGTATTTGCCAATTTTTTTACGGCTTCAATGTTTATCTGCAGTGGGGCTCATTTTTAAATTCCATGACTTTGAATATTTGGTTTTTATAAATCCAGCTCCATGCTAAGCCATTGGTTTTATGGATTACCCTTAGCAGAAGGAGAGAAGTCTAGATGGGCTGCCACATTTATACTTTGTAATACATATGACGGTGAATAGATGCTTTGGCAGGAGTCCCTGGTTCACGCAATGATTCATTTACCAGTTGTTTGGAAAGGGTAGGGGGACTTCTCAGTCTAAAGGTGAAACATAAACTCATATTCTCCATCTGGTGTTTCACATGCTATTTTTACTTTTGATTTTAAAGCCACTTGCCAAATCCCTGTATATACATCAATGGTCGAAATGATTTTAATGGTTTCAAATTGATCTAACAGACTCTCTAGTCTAGGTTTAGGCTATGCACTGGATTTAGTTATAGAAATGAGTTCTTCATAACCTGCTTAAAATTTAATAGTTATTATTACTATATTTTTGCTTTTGAAACTAGGGCTTGAAGGTTCAATAACTCTTGGACTCAGTACTTCTTCAACCATATGTCAATGGTCCAGATACCCTGTCTCAGGAGGTGAGGAATATATATCACCAAGAGGCAGCCCTCCACCTAACAAACCACAACCAATTTCTGTTACAGAGATTCTAGCTGTGTGTGTGTGTATGTGTGTGTTTATGCGTGTGTGTGTGTGTGTGTGTTTCTGTGTCCGATATGATGTGTTTTCCCACCACCATCTTACATATCCTACAGAGGGACTCATGAATTCCAACATCTACAAGAGCCCTAAGTACCACATATAGGAATGTCAGATCTCCAGGATGAACATAAGTATTTACTTTATTAGGGCAGGGCATGTGTTCCAGACGTCTCTTAAAGACTGAACAAGTTTCAGACCTGAGCCTCCACATTCCCCTGACGAGACCTGGGCTCTGGAACAAACTCAAGGCATAAAGCCCTTCTGAGGACCTTGAATGAGGAGTGTGTAAACTGCTCTATGTCTGTGTCCCCGCCCCAACACACTCCACAAACAGAAGAATATTAAAAGCTCACACCAACCTCTGCCCATGCTCCAAGCCACTGAGTCTACGCTTGCTTTTACTGCCCAACACAACTCGAAGACAAAGGATGGTCCTTTGTCTGGTCAACTCCTTAATAGAGATGACTAGTTTCCTTCCACCCTATATTCACCTCAAGAGTCTGCCCACCACCCTTGAAGGTGATAAGCAGGTCCTGGGCCAGATCCTCAACTTCAAGGTCTCCAGGAGGGCATGCTCTTACCTGTACTGTTCGGGCTTTCTCAGAAATGTCAATTAAGTTCTCTGTTAGTTTCTAACTTCAAGTCTGAATTCCCACTGGTAGCATTGTGTAGAGCATATTCCAACACCTCTCTCTTCCAAAGTCCCCTGCAGGTCACTGAGGTTACCATCTAAGCATCTATAGAGGAAGTGCAGCTCCCAGGGCCAGGGAAAGGGATGTCAACTTTGATATCATTGTAAGCTCTTGACATCTCAAAAAGTGTTGTGGAACTGATAGTAATTTTGAAAAATAATGTGAATTATAAGTTTTGGAAAATAAGATAAAAAAAACCATAAGCAACATAGTAAACTAGGAATGTCTCTAAGCTTCACTTGGAAGAAATGAAGAGTGGGCAATCCTTACAATGCTATCAGGAACAATACTCATATTGGCAAGGGAGGAGCAGAGTGGAGTGGAGAGAGCCATGGACCCCAAGGGAATGAGAGAGAGACTGCGTGGTGAGGACAGTGAGCAAAGAGCTCGAGGAATATTTACATAAAAATAGTGTCAGGAATAAAATGGGATTGGGGTAGAGAGAGAGGAGGGAGGTTGATTGATTAGAGGCAGGGCCTTAGACACAAACTCAAAAAGGTAATCAATCAATCCATGCTTGAAATTCTGCTCTTCTTCGTCTAGACCCTTGCTATTCTTAGTAGGGTGTGTGGACACAACATCGGCATCACCTCGGCACGCACTGAGATTGCAGACCCAACCCCAGATTTACTGGATCGCAACCCACTTTCTAACAGGATTTCCAGGTAAGCATGTCGAAGTCTATGGATTAATGGACTGGCACTGTGAAGAGACTTTGTTCAGAGACAACGGGAAAATTACAAATCACCGAGCCATCTCCTTTAGTGGAATAGAAAGAAGTATTTCCTAGA